GACTTGATCTTATAAGTCTTTCCCAACCTGACCGATGCCAGATTTTCGGTGCCTGGGTGACTCTGAGCGACGAAGGCGCCGCTGTGAGCAGCAGCTGAGCAGCTCCCTCGCCTCTCGGGCACTGAGTTCAGACCAGCTCAGGGCAGAAACACCAACATGAGTCCCTCGAGCGCCCTGAAGAGCCACCAGCTCCCACAGCCCCTGGCGTGCCCACTGTGTTTTTCCAGTGTACAACAAGCCCCTGAGATTCCCCCGTGGAGTGGTGGCCGGGTGGGGCTGAGAGCCGTGGGCAGGGCGGTCTGTGGGCTCTCTGTTGAGTCTCCCAGATCAAAGCTGGGCAGGCAGTACTGGGGGACAGGCATGGAGATGGGCAGGAGACACAGCCAAGGCTGGAACTTGGCTCCTCCCTCCCAGAAGGACCTTGAGGGGCTGGAGCGTGGCCAGAGAAGGGCAACAAAGCTGCTGGGGAAGGGTCTAGAGCCCAAGTGTGGGGAGGAGCAGCTGAGGGAGCTGGGGGTGCTGAGCCTGGAGCAAAGGAGGCTCAGGGGAGACCTTCTGGCTCTGCACAGCTCCTGACAGGAGCCTGGAGCCAGGGGGGGGTCGGGCTCTGCTCCCAAGGGACAAGGGACAGGACAAGAGGAAAGGGCCTCAAGTTGCCCCAGGGGAGGTTGAGGTGGGACAGGAGGAAAAAGCCTCCCCATTGCCCAGCCCAGGGGGACAATCCCAGCCCTAGCCCTGTTGGCCACACTAGTGCCAGGCCAGGTTGCCCCCTTGGGCCCACTCTGGATCACCTCCAGCCAGCTGTCAACCAACACCCCCCCGGTCCTTTTCCACTGGGCAGTTTCCAGCCCCTCTCCCCTCCTTGTCCTGCTTCCTCCACCCCCAGCAGCCAGAAGCCAGCCGGCCCCTCTGCTCAGCACCCTGCTCTGCCACTGGGGGATCTGTGGGACCACACAGGGGGTCCCCAGGGAGCAGATACTCCACTGCTACCCGTGCAAACAAACCACTGGAACCAAATTTAAGGTACCTGACCCAGCCCACAGCCTGCACCCTGCAGCTGGAGGCTGATAGTGCTCACAATGAAATGTTTTGTGACGTTGGTTATGGCAGTGGAGATGTACCCTGACTGAGCCAGACACGTTTTTGGACATGATTTTCTAAATCTAGTGAAAACAGTGCAAACAAGAAAACTAAGTAAGACCTTATCTTTGTCAAACTCCTTCCACGGGGGCTGTGCAGATCCTGCACGTCCACATAGACCTTCTGCCCATGGCTGTGGTCAAACGGTGATTCCTCAGTGATTCCTAAGGGGAATGATGCCATCAGTCAGGATGGACAGCTGGAAAAGGGGCTGTCCTGGTTCCGTGTAAAAAGGGGTTCAGGGCAGGACCCACACAGAACAGAACTATGTACTCGCCTCTCCCCCCCTGAGAGAGAGAGAGATACTTTGGAAAAAAAAATGAAGTGTATTGTTCAACAAGGAACAGAAAACGAAAAAGGGAGGTAAGGAAAATAATATATACAAAGATTAGGGGAAAAATACAAAAAATAAAATATACAAAACCCTCAGAAATGGTTCCAGGGTCCCACGGAGTGAAAGGACAACTTCCCTCTCCGAGCTCCAAGGCAGGAGTGAAATAAGAACCCACTCCCTGCCTCTTATCAGAGTGTGTGTGGGAAGGGGAGGGAATACAATGGTTTCACCCCCACCCGGGGTCCTCCCAGTTGCTGGA